AGGCATGAGACAGCCACATTTCGCCACACGATGCAGTCCTCGAACTGCAGTTAGCAGCAGTTAAGTTGACTGTGAGAGGAGGGGCAAAATTGCTCGGATTGTAGAGTTCAGGGGCTTAAATGCATCAATTAGAGTCTAGGGTCTTAATAGCGATTCTGGGGTTGGTTCAAGGGCTTAACTTATGGTTTTGCCTTAATTTTTTCTATATAAACCTTCTTCGTCCGTGTTCGCAGCGCTCATCTCAATCTCAACCTCCATTACCGTTTGCAAAGAACTACTTTGCTTTCCGATTCTTCATAGTAATTCTGTTTTCTTGAAGTGTTTCCTCATCTGGGTTTCTCTCCATTTTCCTCACAGAATAAGGGATTTTCGGTGGATAAAGGCTTTTACCCGAAAATGAATGTCCTGCATTTCATCTTCGGCATTTTCGGTGGGTTTTTGTTTGGATATCTGCTTTCTCTTTCCCCGGCCTCGTCTGAGATTTACGCCTTCTTTCTTCCATGTTTAAATCTTGTTTTCTTTGCTCACAGGAAATGCCACGGGCCTCTTCCTCTTCTTGGCTCCGACGTATGTATCACAAAAACTACTCCTCCTTTCCCTTTTTGTTTTCAGGGGAAAAAGAACCCATAAAAAGAATGTCTGGTTTTTTCAGTTTCTTGAACACTTCAAATGGGTTCTTCTTCTCCTTCTTTCTTGAAGAGGAAACTCTCTGTTTTCCTCTTTTTCTCTCTCCCTGTTGTTGTTTAAAATGGTTTCAATTATACAGTTTAATTTTTATTTTTCTCTCAAAAGATGATTAAGTTTTTAAGTGGAAAAATCAGAGCGCGCATCTCTCAAATTAGAGGAAACATGCAAGCAAAAGTGAGATTTAAATATAATATGAGTGAATTTATCTATATATTTACAATTAATTTTGGAGTCTTTATGATGAATAAAGAAAACAAAAACATTTATCAAAAAAAAAAAAAAACAAAAAAACAAAAACTAGAAAATCTAGGTCATGATTATCAGATGATGACTTTTTTCTTTTCTTTGAATTAAATTGTGAAGGATTACATTTAAGAGGATCATAAAAAGCAAGTCCACAGAACAGTTCTCTGGCATCCCATACGTGATGACCTTGCTCAACTGCCTCCTCTCCGCTTGGTGAGTTTTCCTCATTTACTCAATTCAACCACTTAAT